TTTTTTTTATTTTTTTATTAAAGGGGGAAAATTTCCGAGTTGTTATTATCGGGGGAAAATTTCAGACTTGATCCGAGTTTTGTAATTATATTGTATTTTTACTTAATTAACAAATTTTTTATATAAATTATACTTTTTGATAAAAATTTTTATTTATTAATCATCTTTTTTTCTTAGTGATTTAAATCCTTCATTTCTATAAAAAATGGCTTCATCTGATAATTTTTCAGGATTAGACACTGAAAATACTTCTTCATACATTTTCTCCTCAGTCTCATTACAAAGTGAATCTAACACCTCTAATTGATTATCAATAAAATTAATTATTTCAGTTTCTTCATTCTTTATTACCTCTTCATTTAAAACAATCTCATTAAAAATATTGTTTTCATTAAAAAAATTATACTTTTTTTCATCTAAAAAATCTTCATAACTTACGTCATTTACTATTTCATTTTCATTGTTAATCTTCTTACCCATAAGTACTGAAACTACCAATAACACAACTATTACAGCAGCAATGAATATTTTAGTTAAACATAATGTTCCTTTATCAATTTTTCTTAAAATTTGAGAACATGAAAGATTGTTATCAATAATTAAAATATCTTTATCATATTTTAAACTAAATAATTTTGAATCTAAAATCATTTTCTCTTTAAAATTTAAATTTAGTAAACTAGCTAACTTACTCACTTTAACTGCTTTGATAGTATTTAAATCAACGTTATCTTTTAAAATAAAATCTTTATTATCATCTTCTATTATTTTAAGATATCCTTCATAGGTCACTTCTCCATTGTTTAGTAGACATACTGGCACATACAATATTCTAGAATTATTATTATACTCTTCCTTAATTAGGAAATAATCATTAAATGTCTTAAAAAATAACAATTCATTATCACTTTGATTATTATTGGTTTGGTATAATATTGATTTATTATTAAGATTGTTAATTAATCTTTTAATTAAATCTTTATACTCTTTATCTTCTAATTTAACATCCTGTTTTTGATTATTTACTTCGACACTTAATTTACAATCTTTATTAAGATGATAAACCTTTCTATTATTAAACTTATCATTTAAACAATCATTGTTTAATATCAAGTTACAAATATTAACTAATGAATTCATAAGGGGTAAAAATAATTCCTTTAAATAATTTTGATATTCTATTTTTAATATTAAGATTAAAAAATTAATAAAAATTTTTATTTTAAGCACTGTTCTCAACAGCAGTGTCTTTAACAACCGATTTGATAATACAAGCTACATTCTTAATTGGTTTGACTTTATGAATCAAAGCGTTAATAGGATAAATAGATTCACATTTCTTCTCCATTTCTCTTGCCAAAGATTCAGTAGATAATAAACTAACTAACTTACTAACTTCTAGTCCATCACAATTACTTTTAATTATTTCTTCAATAACAGCTCTAATCTTTTTAGTTTCAGATGTTTTAGCATAGTGTCTTAATGAAGTAGAAGTTTTTTTAGTAACAGCATTTACAAACACTCTAAAGATACTTTGATCTTTAAGAGTGATAGTTGTATTAACTTCAATTAGAGTATGATTCTTTCTAATCATACTAGTAATCTTTTCCTTAGTTGCAGTCATTCCATTAAATACACTATTACAGTTGTTTCCACTGATATCATTTACTTTAAAGTGGAAGTTTCTTGGAGAGTTGGTGTAAACTGATTCTTTTGAATCTAAATCAGCCTGATTAACAAAGAATGTACGACCCATTAAGAATTGATCAATGTCTTGTTTAGCTTTTAACTTAGGATGGGATGTTTGTCCATGAAACTTCTGAGGAAAGTAATTAGTAGTTAGATTGTAGAATCTATCTTTTGATATTGAAGATTCTTTCTTCTTTGATTTTCTAGATCCCTTGCTTTTAGATACGTAAGTACCAGCTGCTCTTATTGCCATCAAAATTATGGGTTAAAAAATTTTTTATAAAAAATTCGATTTATTTTTTAAATCTTTTACATCCTAAATTTTTATTGTTTTTATCATTTAAATTATACTTTTTTATAAAATTTGTTGGTTTTTTAATACTACTTTCATTAAAATAAAAAATTTCTCCTAAAAATACATTGAGTTTATCTTTTTTTATATTAAATATACTTTTAATAAAATTAAAGTGATCATTTAAATTAGATTCTTTAATTTTACTTACTATAATTTTGTATGATTCACTTATTATAATAACTCTTCTAGGAAGTAAATCATTCTTTATTAATATTAATTCATTTAAAAATTTAAAATTCTTTAAATCAATTTTTACATCAAAAATTACATAATCTTCAATAAAATTGATATCTTTATTGATATACGTTTCATATAAATTAAAAATTATTAAAGCATTTAAATTAATGGTTTTTATACTATTTTTTATTTTCCTTAAATTTATAATTGAATCATCTATTAAATTATTATTAAAAGAATTAGATGTGTTTAATGAAGAATTAGATGTATTTAAATTACAATCTGTTATAGAATTATTAATAATTGAATTGTTTTCATTATTACTTATTAAATCATTCATATTTAAATTACTTTCTAAATTAATTTCATTATAAATACTTTCTGTATATTCTGTTATATTTGAATGATAATTTTCTAAACTTATTTGATTTGATTCTAATGATGAAAATTCTGTTGAAGATGATTCACTTGTTCTCATAAAAATTTTAATTAAATAAATGAAATTTATTTAAAACCCCTAAATAATAACATGACAACAACAACTTCTTCAATAGCATTCATATATAAAGATGGAATAATAATTGGAGCAGATACGCAGGTAACTAAAAACAACTCTTATTTTCATCACAATATGAATAGAATTTATGTTTATGATGATTTTATTGTTACATTCAGTGGAGATGTGGCTGATTTTCTTTCTGTAAAAGAATTTATTGATAAAACAATAGAAGAAGAAATAAGAAAATTAGATACTGAAACTATTTATAGTATAATTCAAAGGTATATTTATAATAAGAGGAGTAAAGGCAAACCTTTAAAGTGTTCTGTAATTATTGGAGGTAAATCTAATACTTCTAATACCGATAGTAAATTTATATTATCAGCTGTTAATTCTAAAGGTTCTTTTTATAGTGATACATCAATAGCTACTGGTATTGCTGGACATGTTGTTTTACCTTCTATTAGAGCTGTTAATACTTTGGAGATGAATAGAGAAGAAGCAATTGATTTTATTAGAACTTGTTTAAGAACTTCTGTTTATAGTGATAAAACTTGTTCTAATTCAGTTCAAATTGTTCTTTTTGAAGATGAAAATAAACTCTGTTTAAATGAACAAATAACAACTAAATGGAGTTTTAATAACAATGAAATAAAACTTTGATTTTATTAAAATTTTTTTATTTTTTTGATTAACAAATGTCAAGCTTATCTAAGAAGGATAAAAAGATCCAAGAATTTAAAAATAAAGTAAATATACTTATTGATATGCCTAATAGGAATAAGAATGATCAAAAACAATTTGAGAAGAGTTTTAGAAAATTTATGAGTGAATTGGATAAATATAGTGATGTTATTGAGGTGTGTGGATTTGATTCTATTAAAACTTTATTTTCTGATGAGAAAGTAGTTAATACTAATAAGTTTAAAAGTTGTATTGATGAATTTTATAATAATTATGAAATTGATTCTAAATTAGATACTGTTGTTACTGATACGTCTAAAAGTAATGTTAAAAAGCTTTCTATTGATGAAATTCTTGATATTGAGGATGATGATAAGAAAATTGAAGAATTAATTGCATTTGGAAATAGAAATATCCAGGATACTTCATATTTACTTCCTTTATATTCTTTATATAAAAAGAATAATGATGTTCTTAAAATGATTGATGTTATGAGAATGTTTCTTAATAATGAGTCTATTAGTAGAATTAAAGATAAATATTTGTATGACATTTATAGATTGATTGATAGTGAATTAGAATATAAAGAATATGAAGGATTGGTTTATGAACTTTTTAAAAACAGTGATGAAGATTTTATTAAAAACAGATATTTACAGCTTAAATTCTTTGGAAAGTATAATCAAGATAATTTTATTGATGAAAGTGATGTTAATGAATTATTTAGATTGGTTTATTTAATTAAGAATGATAGAATTGATGAGGCTGAAGACTACTTTGATGTTGAAATTTATAAGGAAGATTTAAGTAAAGATTATGTTGTTGATATACTTTCTGAATTTGGTGATGTTTTATTTAAAAATTGTAGATATGAATGTAGTTTTAATGTTTATTGGCTGATTTCGGAATTTAAAGATGTGAAACTTAAACTTTATTGTTCAATTGTTGCTTTAAGTTTAAATTGTAATAAGCCATCAATGTTTTATAACAAAGAACCTTTTCAATTATTTTTAGATGATTTTAAAAGTTTTGAAAGAAATATTTTTGTGTTGGAATCTGCTGATCCTTTAATTGAAATTTTTAGAGCTTTTTATTTATTAAAGTTAGGTGGCACTCAAGAGTGTAATAAGATTTTAGAAAATGTTTATAATAAACTTTAATAGTTAATTTATTTATAATTTTTAATAAAAACTTGTATTATTTTGATTGAAGCTTATTATTAGTTTAATATTGTGTTTTTTATCTAAAGCTTTTTTCTTAGTTATTATCAAAAATTGTTTACTCTTTATATAAAATACTCATGGGTTTATAGTATAATAATTAATAGTTGTTTCTTAAAACTTAACAAGAGAATATTTTTTTATTTCTTTATTTTAAAAGTAAGTTGATTTATAATCTATATAAAGAAACATGGATCAAATGCAAAAATTTCCCCGCTACAAAAACAAGTGTAAAAATTTTATTAAAAAAATAAATAAAAAATTATTTAATCAAATCTCAATAAATCATTTAGTGTCTTGTTTAAACCTAAATTATTCTTCTTAGTAAATTTGATAAAATTAGTGCAAGTTTAAATTTCAAATTTTTTTATATATTTTAATAGCATATTTAAAATTATTCTACACATTTTCGATGTTCTGAGTATTAACACTGTTATTATGATTTTTGAACAATTAATTGTGATTAACAGTAAAATCAACAAACCTTAACGTACTAATTATACCTAAATATGCTTTCCACTGATCAATGTGGATTATTGTTCTCGAGGCACAAACTCGTTCTATTATTGATAGTAGAGTGTTAGCAGTCCTGTTAGGAACAACATGTAGTGAATTTTTTGTTAGAGTTAATAAACAATCAACTAGTCCAAATACCCAAATCTCTCTTGTTGGTTGTCTAATTCGATGGTATTTTTGTTTATGTCTAATCAAATTTTCGTCTATTTAAACAATCATACCATCACCACCAAGACGAATTGGACTTTTGTCTTATATTTAAAACATTGATTACGAAGTAAATCAATAATTTTAATAATTGACTTTTTTCCAATATTCACCTCAGTACCTATCTGTACATGAGTATGGTTATTAAATTATTTACAAGCCACTAATAAAAAGTCTCTCAGAGGTACAGTGAACCCTGATAGTAGTGACTTAGTGCGTATTGAAACATACTTAGAAAAGTCATTACAACTTCTATTACTTCACCTGAACTTTACACCATCACTATTTCTAGTGTATGATTTCGTTTTCATGTCTAGAAGACATGTTCCACGCTTTTCATACCTTTTAAGAGTGCCTTTATTGCGTAGAAATTCTATCAGGTATTTTACAGGACCACTAACTAAGGGTTCTATTATACTAATAAACCAATGAATCATGGGTTTAAAAACTTTTTTAGAAATATTATTTAAGTTTTTTTATTTCATTTTTGCACTTGATCCTTATTTTATTATATAGCTAAACAATTTAAGGAAGCTGAAAAGGATAAAATAGTTGAATATTAGGAAGCCGATACAACAAAACAAGATATTATGAGAAAGTGTTAACAAGCAAATCAAACTTGAATAAGATATTTAAAGGGTATGCAAATATAAATAATAGCAATCCTAGAAAAAATCTAGAAGATATAAGCCTTTAATGATTCTCAAATTAAATTAATGAAGAAAAAAGTTGAAAATTTTCTAAAAATTGGATTAATAAAGTTTGCTAAGGAAATTAACAGTGAATTTAATATAAACTATTCTGCTCGAACTGTAAAAAAAATATCTTAAAACAGATGATTTAAGTATAAATAGAGTTTTAAAGAAACCTCTTCTTAGTAGTAAAATTATTATTTCTAGATTTAAATATTCTAAAAACATTTATGGGATTTAAATCTTATTAGAAAAGGGTTTTATTGTTAGATGAAATAAAAATAAAATGTTTGGGTTTGATGGCTTGACTTATGTATGCATATCAAGAAGTTTAAAAGATGTAGAAAATTTATAAACTAACTTTAAAACAAGGCAAGGAGATTACCACATCACATTGTGACAATAGTAAAATATAAAGAAACACCCTTTTAAAAAAATTATAAATATATAATTTTTTTCAATATTGAAATATTAATATAAATATTTGTTTGTTAATAAATTATATATAAATAAAAATAATAAATTCTTTACCCCGAAATTTTAATATTTTTATCCAACAGTAATAACACATAGAATTATGGCAATTTGAATTCAAAGTCAACTAATATTATAAAAAACAGCACTACTAAAATGTAATACTTTAAGAATCCCTTGTAATGAGGTGGCCTAAATGACACACAAAATTTCATACTTGTGCAAAAATTAAGATTTGAAAGATTTATTAACCAATTAAAAGAAGTTGTTATCGAGCTAGGTATGCTTACTGTGATTTATAAACAAGATCTTTTGAAATGCGTTGATTAATTAAAATTAGTAATTTGACACTGTAAAATAATCAATGTTGAAAATCAAAATGAGTTATTATAAATGGTTGTTGATCCAAAATATCGCAGCTTAATCAGTAATAGTAGATAATTAATACTAAGATACATTACTGCTCAAAAAAACGTGACCATAAAATTTTTTTAAAAAGCATTATTATACAGTATAAATTAAAATTTTTTTAATAACGGTATATATTTAAATAATAAAAACAGCCAAATTCAAAAAATAACAATAAATTTTTTTAAAAAAATTGTATAAAATACCTGACTAGAAAAAAATTTATCTTCAAAATAGATTTTTTAACAATTTTAAATTATTGTCCCATGACTAATCACATTACATTGAGGTTAAAAATTTAATTGAAGATGAGTTAAAATCGGATTTAAGTCAACGATAGGTAGCTTTTAAAAGACAAATTAGTAAAATTTTAATATGTAATATTAATAAGAGGTTAAAGAATGGAACCCCACTGGTAAGAAAATTAGATTCAAGACGACTTGAAATATTGTTGATAAATTAGAACACCAATTTTTTTGATTTGTGATAAAAATCATAAAGAATCTTGCCTAAAGATTATAGAGAAATTTGTCGAAAAAGTTTAACGTACAAATTTCAAGACAAATTGTGTCAAGAATTTTATCTAATTTTGGTCTATTACTGCTAAACCAATAAAAAAACACTCTTAAGACCTATCAATATAAAAAAAGACTTATCTTGTCAGATAAATTTTTAGGAATTTCACACGAGACCTTAAATACAATAATTTTTACTGATGAGTATAAGTTTAATCTTTTTAATAGCGATGATATTAAGCATGTGTGTTATTTTCTTAGACAGTAATACAAACCTATAAATACAATTCCTTCAATTAAACATGGTGGTGGATCAATATCTCATATGGCGGGGTTAAAATAATTATTTTTTTGAAAAACCAATGACAGCAGCAGTGTATAAACAATTTTTATCAAAATAATTAAGACAATCTGCACGTAAAATGGGTTTTGAGAAATTTATCTTAATGCAAGATAATGATCTTAAGCATACCCTAAGAATTGTTTTCGAGTGGTTATATAATAAAAACAATTGAATTTAAGATTGACCACCATAGATTCCAGATTTAAACCTTACTGAAGCACTCTGGGCTCTTATAATATAAAAATAAACATAGTTTAGTAATTTTAAAAAAGATGAATTTAATGATAAAATTAAAAAATTGATGGTATTGTTTCGATTGGCGCCCCATGATCGATTAAGCGCCCCAAAATTTATATATATAAATTTTTTTAAAATTTTTTAAATCCTTTATGATTTATGAAAAATTATTAGAAATATTAGGGGTGGAAGAATCTTTCTTGACCTTTCTAGAAGAAAGTGGTTGCTTAAAACCTGTGAATGAGAGACAGTGGAAATTTTGCGATAGCAGCAGACTCTCCATAAAGTCAAGAAGAAGAGTTTAAAATGTACATTTTTTTCTTCGATGCAAGTCGTGTCGAAGAGAATATACTCTCTTTGATAATACTTTTTTTTGTTATGAAGAGGGAA